TTCAGGCATCTTGGAACAGAATCATCTTGCTTTTTTTTGAAATGCTATCCCTTCTTATCATCCAGGCTGGAGTGGGATCATAGCTCACAGTAGCCTCAAACTCCTAGGCACAAATGATCCTCCTGCCTCAGCCTCCTGAGTAGCCTGGATTATATGCAAATGTTTCCATGCCCTGCTGATTCTTTCTTTCTTTCTTTCTTTCTTTCTTTCTTTCTTTCTTTCTTTCTTTCTTTCTTTCTTCCTTTCTTTCTTCCTTTCTTTCTTCCTTTCTTCCTTCCTTCCTTCCTTCCTTCCTTCCTTTCTTCCTTCCTTTCTTTCTTTCTTTCCTTCCTTCTTTCTTCTTTCTTTTTCTCTCTTTCTTTCTTTTTTTCATTTTCTTCTTCTTTCCTTCTTTCCTTCTCTTTTTTTCTTTCTATTTATTTTTTTGTGGCAGAGATGGGGGCTCACTATGTTGCCCAGGCTGCTCTTGAACTCCTGGCATCAAACAATCCTCTCATACTTGTCTCCAAAGCATGGGAATTACAGGTGTGAACCACCATGACTGTACTGAAAAGTGTGATATTTAGCTTTCTGTGTCTGGCTTGTTTTACTGAAAATATTGACTTCCAGTTCCATCCATGTTGCTGCAAAAGACATTATTTTCTACTGTTTTATAACTGAATAGTATTTCATTGTGTATATATACTACATTTTCTTTATTCATTGACCTGTTGTTTGAAAGGTAAGGTGATTCCATATCTTTGTAACTGTGAATAATGCTGTGGTAAATATATGTGTGCAGCTGTCGTTTTGATCTATTCCTTTGATTAGATATCCAGTGATGAAATTGCAGGACCGAATGCTAGTTTTGTTTTGAGTTCTTTCAGAAATCTCCATAGTGCTTGCCATAAAAGTTGTGCTAATTTATATTCCCAACAACAATGTAAAAGAGTTCTTTTTTCTCCACATTCTCACTAACATTTGTTATGTTTTTATCTTTAATAATACTTATTGAGGAGTAAGATATCTCATTGACATCTCATTCTGCTGTAAGATATCTCATATTGACTGGAGTAAGATATCTCATTATAATTTTAATGAGCATTTCTCTGATGATTCATAGGGTGGAGCATTTTTTTTCATATATCTTTTGGCTATTTGTATGTGTTCTTTTAAAAAATGTCTCCTCTCCAGGCACGGGAGCTCACACCTGTAATCCCAGAAGTTTGGGGGGCAGAGGCCAGTGGATCACTTGAGGCAAGGAGGTCGAGACCAACCTGGCCAACAAGGCAAAACCTTGTCTTTACTGAAAATACAAAAAATTAGCCAGGTGCAATGGCACCTGCCTGTGGTGCAAGTTACTCAGGAGGCTGAGGCTTAGGAATTGCTTGAACCCAGTAGGCAGAGGTTGCAGTGAGCCAAGATCATGCCAATGCATTGCAGCGTGGGTAATGGAGCAAGACCTGTCTCAAAAAAATAAATAATTCTGCCAGGTCTGGTGGCTCATGCCTGTAATCCCAGCATGTTGGGACGCCCAGGTGGGTAGATCACCTAAGGGCGGGAGTTTGAGACCAGCCTCACCAACGTGGAGAAAACCCGTCTGTACTAAAAATACAAAATTAGCCAGATGTGGTGTTGCATGACTGTAATCCCAGCTACTATGGAGGCTGAGGCAGGAGATTCGCTTGAACCCGGGAGGCAAAGGCTATGGTGAGCCGAGATCTCGCCAACTGCACTCCAGCATGAGCAACAACAGCAAAACTCCATCTCAAAAATAATAATAATAATAAATAAATTTTAAAAAATGTCTCTTTATGTTGTTTTCCCACTTTTTAATGGGATCCTTTGGAATTTTCTGTGTAGCTGAGTTCTTGTATACTCAGAATATTAGTCCTTTGTCAAATGAAGAGTTTACAGATGATTTATGCCATTCTGCAGGTGATCTGCTTACTTTGTCAAGAGGATTTTTTCTTTGGCTGTGCAGCAGCTTTTCTGTTTAAACAAAGCTTTTGAATTTAATTAATTAAAATTTTCAGTTTTGTTTAAATTTGCATGGGTCTATTTTTTTATTTATTACCTGTACTTTTGAAGTCTTAGTCATGAACTCTTTACTAGACAATGATCAGAAGAATTTTCTCTAGATTTCTTCTCATATTGTTACCATTTCAGTACATATATTTAAGTCTATAATTCATCTTAAATTGACTTTTGTAAGTATGGTGAGAAATAGGAGTCCAGCCTTATTCTTCTGCATATAACAATTCAATTGTCCCAACACCAATTATTAAAAAGGGTGTGTTTCCCCAATATATTTTCTTGTCAGATTTGTCAAAGATCAGTTGGCTATAAATGTGTGGTTTACTTCCTGGGTTTTCTAGTATGTTACATCAATCTGTGTGTCTATTTTTAAACTAATACCATGCTGTACTGGTGACTATGGCTTTGTATTATAATTTGAAGTCAGAAAATTTGATGCTCCAAGATTTGTTAATTTGCTTCAGCTGGAAAGACTGAGTTGACAATTGCAGAGATGGCAGCTGCCCCTCCCTGCAGGGGCTCCATCTCAGAAAAACATCCAGGGTTCCCACGACCACATAACCCTGGCTGCAGTTACTGAAATTCCCAAAGGAAGGCCCCACCCAGTGAGGAAAGATGAATCAAGGTCAAATTTAAAGAAACAGTCTGGCCCCAATCAGGCACAGCAGCTGTGCTGCCTTGTAAGGGACCAGACCACCTAGATTCCTTGGAGCCTGCAGGCTAGAGTGTCTGAGTCCATAGAAACACAAGGATGGTGGCTGCTCTCACCTCCCCAGAACACTGTGGTCTCAGGTGGTGTCCATCCTATTGCCTCTGATTGGCTGGCATTCCAAGCCAGTGGGTCTTCACATGACAAGTACCTTGGAAGTGGGGCCCACAGAATTCGCTCCCTGGATTCAGGGGCCTTCCTGAGGGAAAGTAGAGATGGAACTCCTGACTTGCCCAGCTTTTCAAGGCCAAAGTATATATTCTTCCTGGGTCTCCGTGTGTGTCTGAGTGGCTGCTCTGCCAACACCTAACACAGCTCTGTCTATCAAACAGAAGGCCCTTATAGCATGAGCTAATGGGAGGATCTTTTGAACCATGGGTTGCAAAGATCCATGGGAAAAGCATGGTTTCTGAGAGGGGTCACACACCAGTAACTGCTTCCCTTGGCTGTGTGTGCAGGTTCCTTTGACTCTGTGCCAAAGAGATCTCTAGTCTGTTACAATGATCTGTGTGTCTGTTTTTATACCAGTAACATGCCATATTGGTGACTGGCTTTGTGATATAATTTGAAGTCAGAAAATGTGATGCCGGCAGCTTTGTTCATTTCCTTCCGCTGGAAAGATTGAGTTGACAACTGTACAGATGGCAGTTGACCCTTCCCCGAGGGCCTCCATCCCAGAAAAAGATCAGGCTTCCCACCAACCATATAACCCTGGCTGGAGTTCCTGAAATTTCCACAGGAAGGACCTATCCATTGAGAAGGAATGAATCAAGGTCAAACTGAAAGCAACAGTCTGGCCACTACCAGGCACAGCAGCAGTGCTGCCTTGTGGGGGAATCCCTTCTGCTGCAGACCAACTGGACTCCCTGGAGCCCACAAACTAGAGTGTCTGAGTCCACGGAAACACAGAGATGGTGGCCGCTCCAACCCCCCAGATCTCGGTAGTCTCAGGCAGCCTCCAACCTATTGCCACTGGTTGGCTGGTATTCCAAGCTAGTGGGTCTTAACCTGAGAGGGGTCTTGGAAGTGGGGACAGTAGAATGAGGCTGCCTGGCTCCCTGTAATACGGCTCCGATGAGTGCAGGAACACCAGGGCTGTTGTTTCACACATTGAATTGGAGAAAATTACACAAATACACGTGCAGTGTTTTTAATGAGCACAGAGTTTAACAGGCAAGAAAGAAGGAAGATGCTGTCCTCATACAGAGACAAAAGGAGTGGGGGCTCCAAAGCCTAAAGAGGAAACCCGGAGTGCTGGGGATACCAGCCAGTGATATTAAGAGGCTGCCGGAGGTGGTGTTTGATTTGCACAGGGCTCAGGGGATTGGTTTGACCAGGCATGTCATTTAAGTAAGCCTGCCTAAAAACTGGCGCTCCCACCCTAGCCTTTGAATATGCACATGCTTGGGGAAATGATGTCCTACACACATGCGGATATGTGGGGCAGCCGTGTTGCCAGGTACAGGTTGGGAGAAGGGCCAGAAGAGGGCGGGAATCGCCATGTTTAGGTGGACCCAGTTTCTAATGGCCGGCATTTGCAGATCAAAGATTCCCAGAGGGCTCTAAGAGCCCGAGCTTTCCTGCTAGACAAGAATCCTTTCTGGAGTTGCTTCAAAAAGAAAGGAAACTTCCCAAGGACATCTTTTCCTCTATATCTGCCTAAAATAGTTTCTTAACAACTCCTATAACACGTGAATTCAGCCCCCTTCCTGGCGGAATGTACAGACAGAACTCCCACCTTTCCCGGCTTCCCAATGCCAGAGTATGTAAAACTCCTGGGTCTCTGTGTGTGTCTGAGTGGCTGCTCTGAAAACACTCCACACAGCCCTGTGTACTGGGCCCAAGGCCCTTATGATTTGAGCTCATGAGGGGATCTCCTGATCCACGGGTTGCAAAGATTCATGGGAGAAGCATAGTTTCCAGAGCGGGGTTACATAGTGATTCAATGCTTCTCTTGGCTGAGGGAGAATATTCCTTTGGCTGTGTGCCAATACCAGGTGGATCATCACTCACCTCCCTTTTCTTTGTTCTGGTGGGACAAGTTGTTTGCCTAGTGAGCCCCAATGTGAGAACCTGGATATTTCTGTTCACATACTTATTTCAAAATTCACAGCGCTTTTCATTCACAGGAAGGCAGCTGCTTCTAATCGGCCATCTTGGCACGTGCCCTCCACATCACCTTCTATAAAACGACGCCTGCTCTCCAGGGATAATGCCATTATATAACTTTGCCTGAAACCAACAGAACTCTCATTATACTTATGATGGGCTCATTTACTTCACTTCCAATGAATGTGGCCATGGAAATGCAAGTGGATGAAGTGGTCCATTCTCTTAAGGATGAGGTAGAAACATGGTGTACTGACCAATTAATGACATATGTCTGAAAACTAGCAACTGAGAACCTCAATCACCGTGTTTACATTTCTAATCAAGAAGATGCTCATCTATGTACTCAACAACCCAGGTTTCCTTGCATCTGAGCTGCTGAAGCGCTTCAAAAACAACATCTCATGTTTCCTAAAGAGGATGATGCCTGGACAAGCAGCACAAGTGGTTCAGGTTTACTTTCGGTTCATAAATTCAGCACGACATTTACACAATTGTCAGGAAACCTTATCAGGTAACGAGTCCTGCATGTTTCCTTTCATTTCAGGAGGAAGAGGGTAATTCAGTTGAGTTTCCTGAGCTACCCAGCTGCCGTGATTCAATAATCACCAGGAAATGTTGATGATGGTGCTCTCCTGAGCTCCTGCCTGTCCCAGGGAAGACAAAATCATTGAAACTGTGCAAATAAAGTGTTGCTTCGCTGGAATGAGGTCTCATTGCTGTTTATGCGGTGGCTGGCTGCTCAGGACAGGGTAAGTCTCTGGGCTGTGCACTGAGGAGGGGAAACTCTCAATCTGGAGAAAACTCATTGCAGGGGACACCTCCATGGGATCTGAGGGACTGAGGATGAGGAGCTGGACTGGGTGTAGGGAAGGAGGAGGTTTCAGAGGGCAAAAATCTGGAAGTAAATCCTGGACCTGTTTGAAAATTTTCTCCCTCAGAAGGAGAAGATTCAGGGAGGAATAAGGACAAACTGTGGGTGCCTTAAGGGGCATTTACTAATTTGAGAGAACTCTAATGGGAAGCACAGTGACATTGGCCTCCTTGAGGTTTGAGGCCCCAGAGTAAATGAGGCCCAGATCCAGTCCATGGGGGTTGAGAACTTCAAGGGACACATTTTGATTGGGACAGAGTAAAGCGTAGCTGCAGAGGAAGCCCTGGCAGTGTGAAAGCGACCTTGGAGGGAGCCGGTGCACTCTGAATGCTTGGGAGCCCCCATCCCCTGTCCCTGCCTCTTTTTCTGGATTGTTTGGTCTCTGTGGTCTCTGCCGTCTTCTGAGCTCTCCACGCTGCCCTCTTCAGGTTTCTCTTCTGGGCTCCAAGTACTCCAAAATCTTTCGGATCTGTATCTTTACTCCTGTTTTTAGCATGTGTAGGGCCCCAGGTTCCAGAAAATTTCTGGCCTGAAATCCACCTCCCCAGTCGCGGCGGATTCCACTTTAGCGAATCCGCACTGGGCAAGATCTTTCAAGCCCTTGGGGAAACTGACAACAACTCTACGTGATTTGCCTTAAAAAAAAAAAAAAAAGAAAAGAAAGAAAAGAGAAAGGAAGGAAGGAAGGAAGGAAGGCAGGCAGGCAAGCAGGAAGAAAACTAGTAAAAACGCTTTTCCTAAACTTCATCCTACTGCTTTTTAATTTGTTGTTATTTCTATTTATATCTTATTGTATTGTCTATTTCTTCAAGAGTTGCGGCAGTTGGTATTTTTTTTCTTGGTTCATCATTTAGTCTTTTTACTTAGAATAACAGTAGTTCACACACTACAGTTAAAGCGTTATACCATTCTGCATTTTTCTGTGTACTTATGATTTCCAGTGAGATTTGTACCTTCAAATGATTATTGATTGCTCACTGATGTTGTTATTTTTCTGATTAAAGTGTTCCCTTTAGCGTTTCTTATAGGACACGTCTGGCATTGATGAATTCCCTCAGTTTTTGTTTTGTCTGTAAAAGTATTTATTTCTCCTTTATATCAGAAGGATGTTTTTGCCAGATATTCTATTTTAGGGTAAAAGTTATTTTCCCTGAGCACTTTCAATATGTCAGGCCTGTCTCTCCTGTCCTGTAAGTTTCCGCCAAAAAGACTGCTGCCAGATGTACTGAAGCTCCACTGTATGTTATTTGTGTCTTTTCTTTTGCTGCTTTTAGTATCCTTTTCTTATCCTTGACTTTTAGGAGTTTGATTATTAAATACTTAGAGGTCATCTTTTTTGGGTTAAATCTGCTTGGTGTTCTATAACCTTCTTGTACTTGGTTATTGATATCTTTCTCTTGTCTTGGGGGGTTCTTTGTTATTATCTTCTTAAATAAACTTTCTGCCTCCATCGCCGTCTCTACCTCTTCATTAAGATGAATAAATTTTATGTTGACCCTTTTGAGGCTATTTTCTAGACTCTATGGGCATGCTTCATTGTTATTTGTTCTTTTTTCTTCTGTCTTCCTTTACTGTGTTTTTCAATTAGCCTGTTTTTGATTCAGGTTGATCCTTTCTGCCTTTGAAGGACCCTGCTGCATTCTTTACTAGGCCTATTGCATTTTTCATCTCCAGGATTTCCGCTTGATTCTTTTTAATGATTTCAATCTGTGTGTTAAATTTATCTGATAGAATTCTGAATTCCTTCTCTGCATTCTCCTGAATTTCTCCGAGTTTCCTCAAAATGGTTCTTTTGAATTCTCTGTCTGAAAGGTCACATACCTCTGTTTTTTCAGGATTGACCCCCAGTCCCTTATTTAGTTCATTTGGTGAGTTCCTGTTTTCCTGGATGGTGTTGATGCTAGTAGATGTTCCCTGGTGTCCAGGCATTGGAGGGTTGTATATTATTGTAGTCTTCCCTGTCTAGGCTTATGTGCAGTCATCTTTCTTGGAATGATCTTTCACATATTTGAAATGACTTGGGTGTTACTGTAAAGGAAAACTGAGGCTGGAGTCGAACCAGGAACGAAGATACAAGGCAAATGGCAGTGAGAATAGCTTTTATTAGGGCTTGCAGGCGAGGTTCCTCGGTCCAAAAGTGTAGCCCGAGGAAGTCGCGCTGAGGAAGGAGGGTAGGGGCTTCTTATAGCCTGAGAGGTAGGGAAGCTGGTTGTGCAAACAGGGCCTGGGAGGTCTTGAAACTACTAGGGCAGGAGTTGAGTAAGGGTCATGAGGAAGGGGTCTTTGGAAACTGTTAACCAAAACTGCTGTTTACGAACTTGTGGAATGCAGGTGAGCTGCAGGTCATGGGGGAGTGTGGCTGCCCAGCTGGAACCTCTGACCTATGTAAGTCTGAAGGCATGTTCAAAGAGGAAAGGAAGTCTCAAAGGGCCTGCTCGAACAAAGGGCCTGCTACACCAAGTGGCGCCGCCATGTCGGGTCTAGATCCCTGCCTAACATTCTGACCTCTTTCTAATAAGAAAAAAGGGATGATGTGTTTATCTAGCTGCTTCCTGCTGTTATGGGTTATCGTGGGGTTTTTCGGAGGTCGGAACTTGGGTATGGGGTGGAGCAGCATCTGATTGACAGTGATGCGGGAGACTTCTTTTATGCGGTTCTGGATGAAGCGGAGGATACAGGGAGCTATGAGCAGTAAGAAGCCAATGATTAGTCAGGGGCTTAGGAAGGGTAGGACCAGCCGGCCATGGACGACAGCCACTACCTGAGTGGGGACTCTAATCCTGAGGTTTTTTTGTGGAGTCCTTCTCGGACTTTTTCTAGAGTGAGGAGGTTGGTTTCTACTAGTCCTGACTCATTGATGTAGTAGCAGCATTCTTCATTGAGGAACATACAGGTCCCGCCTTTGTCAGCCGTAAGGAGATCAAGTGCTCTGTGATTCTGGGCTGCCACCTGGGCCACTGAGGTGATCTGTCATTGGAGGGAAGCCAGGGATTCTGCCGAAGCTTCGATTGCTACCTGTAATCGGGCTGAAAGGTCTTGAGAGGATCGGACAGAATGAGTTAAGGCTCCAGTTCCAAGGTCAGAGGCCATGAGGGATATGGCTAACGAGACTCCAATCATTAGCAGAAGGAATACTGCTCTTACCTGGTGGGGGCAGGTAATGGGCAGAAGACAGGATAGCTCAGCTTCACTGTACAGGGTGAGGCTGGGGACTAGGGAGATGGGAACACATAGGGTAGTGTTGGAAGCCTTGAGAGTTTTTGACAGGGTGGAGTTGCACCAAAAATACTCGCCTGGGGGTGCAGTGAGATTTGGAGGTGCCCATCCTGTCCAATTGCACCAGGAAGCATTAGGGGTGGAGTAGCAAAAGGGGAGTTGTTGTCTAAGCAGGTCTTGGAACAAAGAAACCTCCCCCAGGGTTTGGCCGGGATGGGAAAAGGAGGGGGTTAGGTTAGAGGAGTTAAATGGGCTAGGTAAAGGTACCACAACCAGTGGGGGCTTATTTAATGCTGCACACAAGAAACAATGGGAGATGTTGTGCACTCTGACCATATGTACTACCTGGGCCCCTTCTCTGACTAGGGTTAGCCAAGAAAAAGGGTTACCACTGCCCTGAGGCTTGTTGTCTGAGTTGGCTGTGTTGTCTGGGTTGGCTAGAGCTGAGATGACTTTTTCTTGTTTGATGTTGGAGGCCAGGCTGATGAGGCTGCTTGTGACCCTGACATAGGCTCTATAAATCTTGAGTCAGGCTATGGGATAAGATTCATAGCCGTGCCGGTAAAGGCGAGCCTCTATACCTGATGCCCACCGAGGGTCCCACGGGTCAGGAATGGTAAAGAAGAATGTAAGCACTTCTCCTCGTCCGTATGATCTGACTAACTGAACTGTTGATGCAGGTTGCTGCCACTTGGTGTACGACATGTCAAGGTAAGTAAAATGCATGTTACAATAATGATATGGACAGCCGCCGTTGGTTTCTACCCAGTAATTGAGACAGTTATATTCTGCCTGATCATAGAGAAAGCATATGACCGGGTTCCACCAGTCGGGGCAACTATTAAAGGCGGAGAAGTTAAAGGTAACCTGACTCTGGCACCCTTGGGACCGGCAGTCAACTGTGGCTAAGATGTGGGAACTTATATGATTGTTTTGGGTCCAGGTCTCTGACAGATAGAATCTCCAGCGGAATGGGTTGACGGGGGGAGTTTGGGTAGGAGTCTTACCTAGGCTCAGGAGTACTGGATAGCTGAGGAAGGTTAGGCAGAGGGTCGTTACCGGCACGCGGCACGCATAAGTCGTAGTTTAGTAGGGGCAACAGCCTGAACCATCCACCTGGAATCACGCTGGGTGGGTGCTTTTTTCAGCTGGGACAGATGATACCAGGAGGGAAGGCCGAGGAGCTTGGCAGCAGTGGGCGTGGTAAGGATCATGGTATACGGTCCTTCCCACCGGGGAGATAAGACTCGGGGCTGCAGCTGCTTGACCAGTACCAGGTCTCCTGGTGCTACAATGGCGGGATTTTTAGGGTTTGGGGAAGCGGGTGTGGGGAGACACGAGTCCACATGTTTTCTTAGAAGCTCGCCTAGGAGGGTTAAGTAAGGGAGGTAGGAGCCTAAGGGAGGGGAGAGGGCTGGCAGCTCCTGGAAGAGGAACGGGCATCTGTACAGTAGCTCAAAAGGGCTGAGCCCTGTGGGGGCCCAAGGAGCTGCCCTGAGATGAGTAAGAGCCAAAGGAAGGAGAGTTATCCACGAGAGGCGGGTTTCTAGAGTGAGCTTGGTTAGATGCAGTTTAAGGAGGCTGTTTGCGCCCTTCTACCTTACCAGACGACTGCGGATGGTAGGGAATGTGGAGCTTCCAGGTAATCTGGAGTGCGGCTGC